GCTGTGCGCGGGGTCAGAGGTCTCTCAGGGTCTGCTGATCAGTTCCTCTCGACGGTTCTTCCTCTTCCTGTTGAGTTTGTCCCGTCTCCGTCCGCTCCTCCGTCATTCGTCGGATTAGAGCGATGATCTGCAGGGATTTGTTCAACGAGACGAAAAGAAGGAACGACTCATTCATGCGGAGACTTGGCTCCCCCCCTCCTCTCCCTCTCTGTTGTTTGGGGGTGCGTCGTTGTTGTTGTTGTTGTTGTTCGTGTTGCTGTTGTTGTTCGTGTTGCTGTCGTCGCGACGCAAACAAACCCAGCTGGCTTTCAGGGCGGGAAGCGAGGAGCGCACACACCGACAGTCTCCTCTGCCGGGCTCAGATGCTCATTATAATTTATGGATAATTTAACCGTGCTGCTGTTGAGCCTGAAGGTTTACGCGAGGAGAACTTCCTGTCCACTTCTTGCGTTTTTTTTAACGTCCTAAAAACAAAGTGAGGAAGTAAAAGTGAAGCAGACGCTAATGAAAAACAACAAAGTTCAAACAGGGATAAAATAGTTCGTCTGTGCTTCATGAGTCAGCGTTCAGTTCTGCTTATAGCTTATTGTCTTAAATTAGCAGTTTTCCTATTGGAGTTTTGTACTGAGACGCTAACATAAGGCTAGCACAGTTTGATAGCACCCGGCTCGTACATGCTAATGAAACCAAAACACAACGTTTAGTCAAATTTATCCACCCTGCAGCACCCTCGAGACTTCAGGGAACACACCCATTGGTTCCCGGGGTTTAGATGGGTGGGGTGGTGGGGTGAGGGGTGAGGTGGGGGGAGGGGTGGGTGCTTTGAGGTTTAAATTTGGTTGAAATCGGCGACTTCAGGTTGAGTTTAGACTTCTTCTTGGATCTCCTGTAAACGAAGAGCTGCGAGGCACGGAGGCGTTTTCCAGCCGAGCCTCGTGTCTGTGGTTAAAGATGACATCACCACAGTATCCATGGTTACAGGCCAAACCTTCCGTGTTAGGCGTGTGTCTGCTGAAAGCTCCTCTGGTATGAAGGATGAAGGCCGCCGTTCCTCCGCCTGCCTCCGGG